TACAGTACAGTACAGTACATACATACATACATACATACATACAAAAATAAAAATGCACATATATGCGTGTATATATGTATGTATGCATGATTACTCATGTATCTGTATATACATTTACATATACATGCATGTATGAATGAAGGTATGAACGTATGAGCGTATGAATGTATGACTGTATGAATGTATGCATGTGCACACACACTTTTAGCTGTCTGCATACATGCTGAATCGCATAGCAAGCGTCAGCGGCGCCCAGGACAAGCTAGATCGGCTTGAGAAGGTCATCCTCCGAGCCACCAAGACTCCCAGCTTTGCGGTTTGAGTCTGTTGGGGTTCATATCTTCGAAGGCTGGTGTGTCTGGTGGTAAACCTCTTTCGAGGCTTGTTAGTTGAGGCGGGTCCATTGGCAACAAATCTGGGTTGATGTTGAAAGCTGCGGCTCTTGTTTGTCCTTCTGCTTAGACTCTGCGTGACCTAAGGAAGATCACTAGCAGAAGCAAAAAGAATGGAGCTGGGGGTTCTGCTGCGGGAAGCTCTTCCATGAGCTCGATGACGCCTGACTTGGCAAATGGGGTGCATCATGTTAACCAGCACGGATACGAGAGTAGCAGTACATCCCAGTATCAGCATCCTCCTAGCACCATGGTTTGCCTTTCTGCAGACGTCGCTGTGTTTAAGTATACCGTCGTCAGACTATCACTGATGTTGTCATGAACTAGTAACTAGCATTGCTGCACGACTGAACAGCAGCAGCACCGCAGGAGCACAGCACAGTCCAAGGTCAGATTCAAGTGCCGGAGGCTCCTCGGAGTGAGAGGATCCGAGGGTTGGACCAATGTTGGAGTGTCCGAAAATACGGGGGTCCCTTATTTTGGGGTGCTTATAATAAGGATCCTACTATTTAGGGTACTATATTGGGGTCCCCTATTTTCGGAAACCCACATGTACAAAGCGCTGGAATTGGGCTCAGCCGCACCGCGCTTGCTAAGTATAGTCGAGTTTGGCACCACTGGCTTGCAACGCCCAATTTCTGTCAGAGAAGCGCCTAGCCATGAAGGGGAGGCAGCTCTCATGTGCATGTTGTTTGTCTTTCTTTGGCCAGCATTCAGACAGGCCCCTCTGCCGAAACTGTAAGTGCTTCGCTGCGGAAAAGCAGACGAGCCTCACTGGCCCCAAGACGAGGTCCGTGCGGCCTCATGTCAGTTACTTGGATGTTCCAAGGTGGCAGTATTTTGTCGTTGCCGCCTCTGTTCCAGGCGCTAAGCGCTGCGCACAGTACACGCTGGCAGAATGCTGCTTCTGAACATGGCTGTTATGGTACGTAGTAGCAAGTGCAAGAGTCAGTCATGTAGGCTATATTCTCATCGCAGATGCAATGCTTCCAGCTGTTCTTATTGATGCCTTGGAAGCGCTTTCGGCGGTGGGCACTAGGCCTACAGATGTAGCCTGGTTCCACTGCTGAGTCCTCACAGCAACCCGTCAACCGGCAACCGATCCTGGCACCAAACCCGGAGAAGAACCTCGTAAACTTGAGCTCGTCCATCCACCGGTTCGATGGGTAACAATTTTCGCTTTAAGGAGCGGTCTCCTCAAAAAGGAGCTGTAGCAGGCACCGTGCACAATGCAGCGCTGCCTGTGCAGAATCCCTGTGTCAATGTCGTCTGGGCTGCGGCGAAGTGACATCAGCAAGTGGTGCTCCGATGCTAGCACTGCTTGCCGCTCCGCGTTTGACCTCACAGTGAGTGCGCTTTGGGTGAGCAAAGAGCCTGCATGTCTGAGACAAAAAGTCGAGTGCTTCTTCAAGCTTCCTTTACTCTCCGTGCTGCATGAAGGCCAAGTTCTGTCATCAGCCTAGGTATGTCGGGGTCATTCTAGATGGGGGTTCCTCGAAGATACCTGTTCCGTCACTTAGACGGCCCAACAGCTGCTCTTGGCTCGAGCCAGGCCCAGATCAAGATCCTACTGTTTCATGGGACATACTTCAGAACTGCTGCGAAAACTCGTAGATGACATGGCTAGCCGGAAAAATCTCAGGGAACGAGTACAGATTGGCAAATACGTATCTCTGAAACCCTATCCCCGTTCAGCACGGTGCATGGGTTAAGCCGCCCTTCTGAAGAGATGAATAGCCCTTCGAAGTCTCTTCCCAGCTGGAGGCTGTGTAGGCTCGAAGGGTAGTCTTATCATCGCCGGTGCAAAGGCTTGCTTCATCAAGCCCAATGGGGAGATAACCGCCATGCCGCTGTCCTGGCGTTTGCCACCTGCCCGATGATGAGGGATCGTCCGGGGCATCCTATACACAACTAATCTTTGTGCCTGCAACAATGAAAGCTGAGGTCGCAACGTTTGTGTAAAAGACCCTAAACCCTAAACCCTAAACCCTAAACGTGCTTGAGGCGCTTGGCCGTGTTGGCTGCGCTTCGCATCACTGCACGGGCGGCCGCTTCACCTGCTCTCCGGGTGCTGTGCCCAGATGCCTTGTACTATATTATGTTGTATTGTACTAGATTATGTTGTATTGTACTATATTATGTTGTATTGTACTATATTATGTTGTATTGTACTATATTATGTTGTATGGTTGTATGATAGTGTATCTTAGCCGAACCAGGAGGTAGCTTCTCCGCTACTGTTCTTGCCCTTGATGCCTTGATGGGGGAAGGCAACCGCTCGCCAAGCTACAGCCGATGGATCTTCACAGGCAAGATGCCATCAACCAGTTCGAATCGAAAGACCCCACGATGACACGGATGTAGTGCATCAAGTCCTGTTGAGAACGCGACGTTGAAGCCACATCGTAGGCCGACTTCCTCAAGATCTTGCGCCGAAAGACTGCAACGCAGGAGCAGGCAGCAACACGGACGGTGAATGAAACTTCATGAGCTGTCGGCGATGGACAGTATGCCATTCGCCTAGGACTTTCGTTTTTCTGCTGCAGCCTCATGCACTCCCTTTGGCATTTTGGAGGCCGCAGCCGCTGTGGAAGGACTTCGCGCCGGCGGGTACTTGGGCAGGGAACCACAGAGTGGGAAGCATTCTCGATGTCGGGCAATCACTGACTGGGAGTCAATTCTCCGTGCTGGACCAGCTAAACCGCACAGCCTTCCCGTTTCCTTCGAGGCGGCGTGCGCGGCTACTCCTCTGCGATTGTGGCCTCCAGAAGAGGCCTGCCGGCCAAGCTTTTTCTGAAAGCAGCTTCGGCTCAAAGCCGGAAGCCACACGTTGGATCTTCGCTCCACCGCTGCCTCCGTAGAACCTCAGAAACTCAGGGCGCAAGTGGGAGCTCGCGATCCACCTCTTTGATGAGATGCTGGAGCCACTATCCTGGAAGTAGATGATCTGAGTCCTAGCGAGTAGTAGGCCGGTGTCCAAGACGATGCAGTGCCTTGTCCAACGAGACAATAGCAGTAGTTGTGACAGTTGTTTCTCTGTCTGAATGTGGGGGGGGAGGTTGTTCTTCTATCACATCGCATCTGCCAGTGTCGCAGTCTCCGACAGCCCCTCTCTCTCTCCGTGTCTGGAAAAATCTTTCTCTCTCTCTCTCTATATATATGTGTATGTATAATGTGTAAATAACAAAAAGAAGAAAGTGAGCACGTACATATATATATATATGTATATATATATATATGTCGGCGAGACAAGCTAGTACTGGTGTGGTTTCTGCATCTATAAAACGTAAAA